CACTATTCTACCTTCTTTATAACCTTGGACTGATTAGTGTAAAGCTGATACCTAGCAATACCCTCGATTTTCGCCTAATTTTAGTGCCAATTTGCATAAATCTGGTGGTAATAAAACACGGAAATGCTGTAAGCTGTAAGGCTTTCATTAATGCATTCGATAAAGGAGCCGAAGCACTATGGGCCGATGGTATTGTATTCTGCTCCAAAACATCGCCTGCCAATATTCTACTGCTCCTGCAAGACTCTCCATCTCAATAAATGCCTACGAGTTGCCTTAATCCCTTACAATTGATCACTTTCCCTCCTACCCTCATGCTGATCATCAATGTGATTTTTCGCCTATACTTACAAGGGGTACATAACACACAAGTTTCCTGTCCTCCGTGATTGACATGTTCTTATAATGCCACTTCAATTAGTCCTGAGTACCGTGACGAAAATACATAGCAGTAGGATTCGCCAACTTAAGGTCATTAAAGCCGAATGCATTCCATTCTATTCTATTTAACAAGAGGAGCGTATTTCGTTCCTCACCAAATGCTGCCAATGCCGTAGGCACCGCAATGTTGCATGTCGGTAATCAATGCTTTAGGTGAGTGGTAACATTCTGCTGCGCTCATTTCAATGCCTAAATCACCAAGAAGCGGTGAAAGCAGTCAACTGAATTTTGGAATTTTTACAGTCTCTGGGCACTTCACTGCTCAAAGGCAACAATTATTCGGCTGTGTGGGTAACATCCATTCAATCTACAGTTTGGCAGGACAATGTCCCATTACTTCCATCTAAGTATAAAACACGTTCTTTACCATCGCCACTTAGAGGTTGTCAAAAGGAGCTCACGTCACCATCAGAAAATAATGGCGCATCCCCATGTTGCTTCGCCTGTGAACTACAAGGGTCTCAACATTTGGCAGACCGATCTACATGCTGTAAACAAGAGTAGTCCGTGTAGTAGGATTCTTTGCCAACGTTATACACAAATACTTGAGTTCGGACACATAACGAAGACGCCTTGCCCTTTCTTAAATAATGGTTTGGCTTGTCACGCCCCCTTGTAGTTCTTGATGGGAACTGCAACGCCCATCCGTTTGGTGGGCATTCTGTTTACACAGTATCAGTTTAGAACTTCAGGAGTGAAAACCTCTCTCCGACTAATGCTATTGCGACGTAAGAACGAGTAAATGTCCCATTTTACTTTCTCATCATTTTCAACAACTTCTTCTTTGTTGCAGCCATGGTCAACAGCATGTTTTCATGAGGACATCTTCCAGCCATTAACATAAACAAAGAAACTGCTTTGATTATTGTCGCAAACATTTCGTCTGACTATTAGTTATGCTTAGTAGAGCCCTCTGCAGCGAAGGGTTCCGCTGCATTGTCAAAGTGTTACCACATTTACATTAACGATACACTTTCAGCAAGAGTCTTCCAGAAACAGTTTATTCTGCTGATTATGCATATTAATAGCTTACTGTTCCGCCAAAACTTTGCGGCCTTTTCTTTGAATGCAAATATTTTGAGTGAATGCCCACAAATTTGGCTTACTTTTAAACGACAATGTCTAGTGAGCTGATAAGCAGATTCCGAACTTTACAATGTATCGCATCGGAAAGTTATTCGTGCTTGTTAAATAGCAGGCTGTGGATTCCACTCAGTCACATCGAAGAATACGTCAATGAATTGATGCAAATAATTACTGTACTTGTTGCTGAAATTTGCAAAAGTGTCGACAGTATGTCTTACCTCCTTCCATTTAGCTCTGCAGGGCTTGTACACTACTTATGATGCCAGTTATTGCTGCCGCGACACTGTTCCACGACAATACGGGCTTGCTGGGTAGGGAAAGGCGAAAATACTATTGACAAGTGCAACATCGAGCAGCAAATCACGCTTGCACTGACTAGTCACTTGTCGCGTAAACTTTGTTAAAATGAAAATGCCTAAATGAGAAACCATAAATTCGCACAAAATTAAGCGAAAACAGAAAGATGGAGGAAGAGCCTACACATTGGGTTAAGCCATTCACTAAAATATTATGTATACAGTAGTGTTTCTCAAATCCTCTGGGGTCCAATGCAGTGCTACGCGTATTGCAGAAACCTTGGATGAAAAGAGCGAAACGGATCATTTGACTACATAGAGGGACTTTTATTTGGAGGTGGGATGATTGAGCTTCTAGGTGGGGCGCCGAATTTCATTTCTAGCCTCCATTGACCACGAAATTGTAAATACACCCTTGGCCATGTATGCATTTGCCTTTATGGCATGCGTTTACATTATGACGATGGTACGTAGCATTTGACTGCTACAGTTTCGGTGTCCCAACATTGACAACTCTGAAAACCATCTTCATTCCACTACCCATCCCTGTCCCAGTCCAAACTGCCACTACATCCTCCTACTACGACATTATGCGCAAGTGCTTTTAGATGATTTCCATTCATTTTTCCCTGTTTATCTGTAATTCGACATCACACGATAGAGCACATTCATGATTCGGGTGTTAGAAAAGGCTGTGCTGTGATTCGGCATTCAAAACATCATTTCCGTTATGCTGCTTCAATTAGATAACCTGTTTGTTGTTTTCTGCTGCCCCAAACTACCTCATCCCATGCACCTCGTCACAACATTTGGCATATATGCCCACCCACGCATCCACATTCAATGTGCTAGCTGTTAGAGAATAGAAATGAACTGTCAAATCCTAATTTAAGTTCCATCCCAAACTGAGACCATTTATTAAATGTACAACCTGCATTCCGTAATGCTGTCTGATGCTTTTGCATATTGCGCAACTTTGCTTTGGAGGGACTTTCGCAACACCCGTGGTGGAAGTGAATAACGATGCATTGTCTGTCAGCTGCATGACAAACCAGTTGCAGGTGGAATCAAGGCTTCAAGCCATCAAGCGCGGTAAATTGCCACTCAATTCGTTGTCTCATCTTTTGCTACTTCGCTACAACCAACCCAATGTCGGTCGGTCTGGAACGATAGTGAAGTCGTAGGCAGCACTAAGCGGGTTAGACCACTGTCGATTTCATTTAATGATCTGAAGAGTCCAGTAATCGCATTCATATCATGCTAACCTCATTCATAATGCAATTACACTCCGAGAGGCGGAAGCAAGTCTACTTAGGGGAAAATCCCTCTCAGGTTGTGTAGACGAGAAACGATGCACTTTGTTTTCCCAGACAGATATGCGAGAGGATAGTTATTGAATGAAGAACAACTTCGGAGCCTCGAAAGGCTGTGAACTCACGTGGCTATTTAGCGTGGAGACCTGACCTTTCCAGTGGCATTTCGACAAACTGTTGCACACATCCCTAGCTAGCATGATAAAATGGGCGATGTCCTCCAACGAACTCGTATTCGTCAAGGTGCCAACATCGGCGAGAGGCAAATCCATAGGGACCGCTAGGCAGTACCTCATTATTCTCAACTGCAAGTTGTGTTGAGTATTTCATTACATTCGTCGAGTTGTTGCTGTTATCTTAACTCCTGATGGTACCCTCAACTCGATGGTGTCATTGAGTTTAATATAGGCCAATAACTTATGCCACCGACTC